TTTTCTCTTTTCTCTTTTCTCTTTTCTCTTTTCTCTTTTCTCTTTTCGCTTTTCTCTTTTCGCTTTTTTCCCTTTCCCTTTCCCTTTCCCTTTCCCTTTCCCTTTCCCTTTCCCTTTCCCTTTCCCTTTCCCTTTCCCTTTCCCTTTCCCTCCCCCTCCCCTCCCTTCCTCCCTTTCTTTCTTTCTTTCTTTCTCTCTTTCTCTCTTTCTCTCTTTCTTTCTTTTTTCTTTCTCTTCTTTCTCTTTCTTTTTTCCTTCTTTCCTTCTTTCTTTCTTGTGAGAGAAGTGGTTCATAGCCTGCCATGCAGTTGAATCATCTCTGCAAAAGGGCAATAGATAAAGATAGGCTTTAGTAGGTTGTGATTCATCCTGCCTTGGAGTACACATCTCCATCTGGTAAGATGAATCATACCCAGGACATACAGAGCTCTCAAGGCAGCTGTATCACTTGTAGATGTTAGGATGTCAAAATACAAGATGAATCCCACCCTGGTAGCTTGCTGATATGACCAGGAAGTCATGCAAATGAGTACAGTTTGTATTTACTAAGTTATAAAAACTTAACATTTCATGTGTTGTGTGTATTAAAAATTTATCAAAGACTGTAGAGTGATTGAATTAACAGAACTCAAATTTAATTCTACAATAATCTGTTGCTTGTTTATTTTTAACAGGTAATTATTCTTGGGGCATCTACCCAGGATTGAATTCTGACACTCCAGTAGAAAACAGTCTGCTTCCCAATTCTGTTTATTCTGAGTCTCCACCTCCTGATGGAAAGATGAAAGTAACTGTAGTACAATTAACAATGGCTCTGGGAAGCCTAAAGAATATTTTCACTCCTCTCCTGTTCCGGGGACTCCTGTCTTTCCTCACTTGGTGGATTGCTGCTTGCCTTTTTTCTACAAGCCTTTTTGGGCTCTTCTATCACCAGTACCTGACTGTGGCATGAACAAGTCAACTGACAGAACAAGTGTGAGGTCAGAGTCTAGATACAAACCCAGGTACCCAAGAGGAGATGAAGAGAAAAGAAAACTATATATGTGAAGAGAAAACATATCATAATTATTTTTAAACACTTCCTTGGTGTTCTCAGGGTGAATAATCTTAAAATGTTTAAAATTGCAGCTGGGTTTGTTATTTCTGTTACCCAAATGGTAGGTAACTAATTCAGTTATAGTATTGGGACTGACTGACATTATTGTGTTGTAGATGGTGGTAAGCATGCTGAAAAGATGTGACCTCTGAGTATCTTGGTTTCCATAAACAGCAAGCCAAATTCAAAAATTTGTTTTTTAAGCATCAACAGTCACTGACTGAACTGCATTCAAAAAGTACTGGACATAGTGATGGTAGCTGCCTATCAATTAAGTCTTGAAACTGAGCCATACAAGTGAAAGGAGAAAGGGGATTTAAAAAAAATTCTGTTGGATAGCTATTGATCACTTTTCTCCTTGGAAAATTAAAAAATCCAACAGGACAAAAGAGATACTGTATATTACAGTAAGGAAAGATGTATAAAATATAAATTTAACAGGAGTAGATGTATGTACCTGACAGATATTGCTGCCTACATATTTTGCAGAAGTGCTTGTGCAGTAAGAAGAGAGTTAGAACAAATATATTATTTCAGTCCCTGCAGTCATTTTGAAGTAATGGCCATCTGTATTGGTGCTAGTATTGATCCACACATTGTGTCTGGATCTTTTAAATTTCTTCTTTTGAGGTAGTAGATAAATTCCATTGAATTTACAAAAGAATAGAAAATAATTAGTGGCACCAGTCAAACATTTCAAAACAAAACAGTTTAATCCTGCTGACTGATAGCATATGTATATGTGTAATGTACATATATATTATATATCAAATATATAATATATATGAAGGTATGAAATATGGAATCTTTGTTTTAAATTCCTGAATGTATTTTACAGTTCTGTGGGAGAGGGGTGTACGTGTATCTAGTAATTTCCAGATTCCCTTTTGAAATGAAACTTAATTTCTTCCTTTTTTTCTTTCTTTCTTTTTTTTCTCATTTTATTTTAATTTTTTTTGTGTTCTGTTGAAAGGGCTATTTGGTTTTTGTGCTTCTTTAGAGGTACTTAGGTATGCTAAAGAACTTACACTGTCTTAGAAGAAAAGATCTACTTAACCTATTACTCTTAAAGTTTCTGCACTGTCAGATCATCGTCTTTTGCCACTTTAATTTGTGCTAACATGACCATATAATGGTAATTATTATATCTTGGCTTCAGAAATAGATTTTATGTGTAATAAAATAGCTGTGTAATAAGAAAAAGAGCAAAGTATTAACTTTACAGGTTTTGTTTAACTGGATAGATAGATTCCAGTCATAAAATTATTTACAGTTTTTCAGCTGTTTTGTGTATTTGCAAAACAGGAATGGGGATTTATATGCAGCAGCTTTTTTAAACAGTTAATATTACACTTCACAGAGGTCAGTGGGTTTTTTAGATAATACTAGCTCTTTTTATGTTACTGTTCTTTTTCTCTTGAATTTGTGTACAGCTTTGGCATATGATAAGCATTTATAAATGGAAAAGCTTAACTAAATTTTTAATATGTAGCAAACCTATCATATGGGAGAACAAACTCAATGAATTCAGAAAATCAAGCTTTTAAGCTGGTTATAAACTATCTTGCTGTGTTGAAAGCGTTTTAAGTTATTTATTTGTTTATTAAGTTGCATTTATTGGGGAAAGATTTGTGTACACCAGCCTAGTACCTACTGCATGTGTTTGGGATGTCTGAGCACACCTTGCATGATGCTGCTGGTTTCACTGCAGTATTTCAGTGTGACTGGGACTGCCAGCTTTCTTTTTTCACACCACCTTTTTGTAACTAATAGGGACAAAGGCTTAACTGTGAATTGGCCTAAAGAACAATATTTGATCTCATAGTTTCAAATGTCAAGCATTCCTAGGAAGTATTTTTCAGGTGAATAATTGAATGACAAAATATGGCAAGTCAAACAATACTGGACCCACTTTTGTATTAGTTCAAGGTACATTATTACTACAAAATACATCATTACTAATAGAATTAGTAAGGCCAGCTTTTAGGTTAGAGTTAGGTGTTCAATGCTGATCTTTTGTTCAGAAAAATAAAACAATGCAAAACAGTTTGATTCTGATAGTGAACTTGCCTGATGAAGCTTACTATTTAGGAGATGTAACCTGTTGTTGAAATCTGAAGGAGTAAATTTTGGATACTTGAGAATACTTGAAAATAATGTTAAGCAACAGTTTTTGCTGACATAGTCAGTCTGAAAGCTTATAAGCAAAAGTGAACTGTAGTTATATAATAATGCATTCAGCAAAAGTAATAAGGGTCATGTAGCTGAGCTTCACAAAGCTTTTGCTAAGAGCTCATGCTGACTTGCTGTTCAGACATCACACTGATCACAGTGAAAAATAGGCACCTGGTATTAGAAACATGAAGATCAGTGCTTGTAGACATTGTGCTATTGCATTGTTCTACAGACGATTGTTCTGCAGAATTGAATGACTGACCTCTGGTCAGCAGTGAGTGGGCGATGGTCTTTCTTTGGATCCATTTAATACTGACATAAGTCCAGAAAGCTTATGAAAAACTAAAATATGCTAATAAAAGCCTTTGAAACATATGGTGACAGTGAAACCAGAGGGAGTATATTGCTAAGGTTGTGAGCAGTGCTTCTGACAAGTATGTGATGTAATCAAAAATGTGTTTTAAAGTAAAGTAGCAACCCTGATAGTCCTGACTTCTATATATATTGTGTAAGGTTCAAAGGAATATCTACTCACTTCTGTAGTAAGTTTCTTTGAAACAGCAGCTGGCAAATGGTTTTTTTGTTTGTGTTATGGAGACCTTTATCAGCAACTGGCTATGGGGAAAAGCATCTTGCAGAAATGGAAAAGGAATAAAATATGACTGAAAGGTTGGTAGGTGTTACTCAGGTTTCTTAAACATTTTTTCTTGCTTTTTGCTCACTACTTAATAAAATCATTGTAGAATGGTTTGGGTTGGAATGGATCTAGAATGGACCACTTTTCATCAAACCAAGTTGCTCCAAGCCCCATCAAACATGGCCTTGAACACCTCCAGAGATGGGAAGCCACAGCTTCTCTGGGTAACCTTATCTAGTGCCTCATCACCTTCACAGGCAAGAGTCTTCATCCAACACCTAATGTAAATCTCCCCTCTTCTAGTTTAGAAGTGTTTCCCCTTGTCCTATCACTTCCTGCCTGCGCAAAAATTCTCTTTTTTATAAGCCCCCTTTAAGAACTGGAAGGCCACAGTGAGATCTCCCTTAGTTTCTGAGAGATTTTAGAAGGAAATGTTCCTTTGGCAAAGAATCCATGTCTGTTTTTTCTTAAATTCAATTCTCCCTTCCTGTCTTAGTGATGCGAGTTCCATTGTCGATCTATAGTGCTGTCCCTGGCTTCCCTTCTCAGAACTAAGTAGGCTAAATTAGTTCAAGATTGTATTTTGACTTCTGTTTAATTTAAATTTTATCTATTTTTGAAGGATTAGTTCCTTTTAAATACTTCAAATAACTTAAAATTCCATCTGAAACATGAACAAACTTCTTAACATTTGTTCAAAATCTGCACTTTTATTATGTGTCTCCCTTTAGACAAAGGGTTAAGACAGCGAGAAATCCAAGTCTTCCAGCAAGTTCAGGGAGGTCCAGACATAACACTTGGGCTATTTCTGAGCTAAGAGAAGTTGATTAAGAACAGGAGAATAGATTATAGAAAGCCTATTCTTACACTTTGTAGGTGACATTCTCAGACTGCACTTGTCCTCTTTTAATTCCTTCTCAAGCTGTAGGTTATGCCAGACTTTGACATTTCGTTAGCTGTGCAGTCTTTCCCTCTTCCAGAATTCACTTGCATAAAGGATCCACAGATTAATTTTCTGTAGGTATCTTCTGTACAAGAGAACATCCTTGTACAGAAGATACTTACAGAAAATTAATTTCTGTTACAGTTGTTCTCCGCATTTCGATCACAAGTACTGCAAGGTATTTAAACAGAGATACATTCTTCCCTGGATTGTAAAGTCAAATTTGTCTTAAGAACAAAAATGCTACCAAGGCATCAACACAACATTTAGGCAGCATAACCTCACCCTATAGTGGCTAGCAAGTACAGAAATTTCAGCTAACATCCAGGGAACAATTAGTGCTGGACTTTGTTGGAGTAACTACACCTAAGTGGTAATAGGTATTTTGGATATATCAAATAGAAAATTGAACACATCTGATCTTAAAGCTGTTGAAAGGTTCTCCAAGGTAAAAAGCCTTATGTGTCTTTATTCTCAAATAGCTGTGATTTTCACGGAGATAATTTTGATCAGTTTTGAAATACTATGCTTCATGATTTTTCTCATGACACATTTTGCACATTAATTTGTTCAACACAGCCCCTCCACACCCAGACTTAACCCCATAGTAAATTTTTTCACTATAAAGATTCTAGATGCTTTTAGTTAAACTTTAAGAATTGAGTGCCCAGGCAAAATGGAGACATTGAACGAGGCCAAAGAAAACTGTGTTCTGTTGGAGAAATCTGTTACGCCTGAGCAAAATCTTAATGGAGGAAGGCAACAGCAGGTTACTTGTATCTTAAATCAAATATTAAATGTGAATTATGAGTAAGACTGTTATTTTTAGCATCTGCAGCCTAAATCCCAAATGGTAAATAAAGAGCAACATTTTGACCTCGCTCTAAAAAGCATCTAGGCAACAGATGCTTAGAAGCCAGCTGTCTGATATAACTAAGCAGGCTGATGCAGATTGGTGTCTGATATAACTAAGCAGGCTGATGCAGATTGGTGTCTGATATAACTAAGCAGGCTGATGCAGATTGGTGTCTCTGCTTCAGAGTGATTTTTGGCAACTCCTTTAGGAACACCTGCCATGCTTTGTGGCCTGTGCAGCACACACAGTGAAGTAGATGGCATGTCTCATTTGCACTCCAGAGTATTACACTGAAAGGTCTTCCTCCTCTAGGTGAGATCATTAAGCCAATATGTCATTTCCAGGCTGCTTTTACTGACATCTGTATATGCTGCACTTAACTTTTTCCAGTCTCTCACTGTAGACTGCCAGGAGGGTAATATTGCACTGGATGTTGTTTTGCATGCCAGTGTATATGTATTTTTATACTTTTGATTTCAGTGATGTTTTTAATGGAAATTATTTTTAATCCTAATACTATGGATCATAGTTTCTTTTTTTAAATTAATATCAGTGCCTGCAACTAGAAGCCAGAAACTTCTACACTTTTTTTTAAAGCTTGTTGTTTAGGCTGAAGTATTAACAGGTATGCAGTTTTATAGCAAAGTCCAAAATCCACCTGTAAATACCAGATTTTTCCATTTAATTACACATCGGTCAAGATCCCTTAGAATTTATACTTGCAGCATTTTTTTCTCAACAATATACTATCCATATAACTCTGCTATCTATAAAATACACATCTCAAAAGAACATTGAATAGCTTTTTATGAACTGCTTAGTAGGAAGTCATTATTCTTTTATTGTGCTGCAATATATTTTTTTAAAATCTGGCTTAAAATTTCTATGCTTAAAGTCAGACTTATTCTCTTCTTCTGCTTCCCGTATGTGTTCTAAGCTTCCAGAATACATATTCACAGTATTTTTCATAAAAACATAGGACAAAGAAAAAGGCACCAAAAATTGTATTTCATAACTACAGTTCATACCCATGTCATGATGTACCAACAGTTTTTATTTTTCCTATCTTTGGTCATTCCTTTGCTTAATTGTTAACATTATGTAAGGCTTTCTAGGAGGAATATACATGGGAAAAAATTCTGTAAGAGAAGTTACAGAAAGCTGTCTAATGTTTCAGTCTTCCCATTTATGTGAGCAAATATTAATACAGATATGCTATTAAATAATTTCAGCCTAAAATTTCTCATAAGGTAGACATGTTACCAATTGCACAGGGAACGTTTTTCAAGTTGTAAATATTTTACTTTAAATCTTCTACTTGTCTCATTGTTACTGGGAACACACAAATTCAGTGTTGTTCTTCAGTTAATCGTCTTTTTTATTTTTGTCTTTAAGTGAAAAAGCACATAATACTTTCTACTCTAGAATAAAGACCTAAGACAAAAAGGTTCCCTTCTCTTCATTTCAGAATTTGCCAAATGGAAAAGACTCTGGTGTTATATATGTAAATTTTAGCTTCCTCTTACTGCTACAATACTGTTAAAATATGATTTTTATAGTTACAGCTTTACAAGTACTAAGACTGTCATGCTTCATAGTGAGGGTGGTGTCAAGTGGTGTTTGCATTATATGGATCTGGTGTTGCATTACTTGCTGTTTAAAAACAAATTGACTCCTATGCTTTTAAATGTTCATCAGGATCTGTGATCAGAAGAGCACAACACAGGTTGAAAAAGCTCACTTCGGGGTGTTTTTTTAGTTGTTTTGGGTTTTTTTTAGTGGTGTGGCTAATACTTTGGTACTACTACGACAGCTAATAAACAACCTCCAGTAATATTATTTTTGTACACTGTAAAGTGCCTAATTGTGGGTGATTCTGGTAACCCTTGAAATAGGGTTTGCTATGAAATTATTTTTTTCATATAGTTTTTGGCTTACATAATGTCCATGTGTGGTTTTGTGCTATTACTGGAAACAAGTAAGATTTTGAAGAAATCTTTTCCATTCCTCTTATTTAAATGGTAATCTAACAATTTTGGTCATATCTGACTGATAATTTAAATTAACACCCCTCCCTCTGCCACCTGCCACCTCTGCAGTGTTTTCTTTATGACTGAGGGCAAGTGTCTACAAGATTTGAAATGGTTTGACGTACAAAGTTTTGTAGTGACACCTGGGTATTAATCAGTACCCCAGGAGCATGGGTGATTTCAGCCAAGTGAGTAGTTCTGCTTGGACTCAGAAAGACAACACTGAAGGTCGCTGAATCTTTATGGATTTGCAGCACAAAGAGTACCAAGCATGATACTGCTGACTGACACCAAGCTTCCAAAAGTTACACATTGTAGAATTTTGTAGAATTCTGTTAAGAGTATTCAATAGTGAAACTACCCTTACTTTATAGCTGCTTGTCCACCTTCAGGAATGCAGGAGCTGAAGGTAGAACCTGACTAGTTCAACAAGGAGGTTAAAAAAGTGAGGAAACAGCAGGCCCCTGCTCCTGAGTTAATTATACATTCTGCATGTGAAGTGCTTGTAAGTTGAGATGGTGTTGCTGATTCAAATCTACCAAAGGAAGCCTTCTTCTGAGGAAGGCTTGTCACAGCACGTTAAGCTTTTAGCTCTAAAAAGTGGTTATAGGAATCCATACTGTATATGGTACACTGTTTGGGAAAACCGGGTACAGTAAGCTTGCTAGATATTTCCTTACACTATTTGTAAGGAGTTACATTGCATTTTTTACTGTAGAGCATTTAAAAAGCTAGTTTTGCCTTGCTCATTTTATATTCATGTGAAAATAATAAGAATTGGTTTGTCATTTAAATGCCTAAATTTCTTTAACAACAGTAAATTTCACAAAACTTAAGCAAGGTTATACTTTCTTATTTCCTATTCATTTTGTTGAAATGTTACAGTTTAATTCCACTTTTATAATGCACACATTATTAAAATGAAATTTATGTCTATTAGTTGCTCATGGTAATACCACAGCAAATCTAAGAGAAACTGTGATATCTGATGTTAATCAAGTGGCTCCTTCAACTTGCTTGCCTTTGTAAAACGTTAACCCATATTGGACATACAATGTCTATTGCAGTAATGTTCCTATAGTATTTTAGCATCCGTACATGTACTCTGCATGCCTTGCACTTGTACACTGTAAAGAACTAAAAAAATCCTTCCATTATTTTATATAGTATTTCCCATATCCATAAAATAAGACAATTTCTAAAGCCAAAGATCAATAAATGTTTATTGTCTACCAGTGTGCTTTTTTTCCTACTTTTTGTGATATATACTACTCTTTATCAACTTGCAGAATCTCCAAAGAGCATGTAATAACCAGGCTTCTTATCAGTTTCTCTACTAGGCTGAAATTGCTTACTTCTTTTAGAAATGATAGAGTAGGCCATTTATTCTGCTGCATTTTTTGAGTCTAAATGCAGGTAGTGTCTTATTCATGTGAACGGCAGTTTAATCACAGAGAACCATTTGAGATTTCATATGGGTATTTTCATTTTTGTGTATTTCACTATTTAAAGTTTTGAACCATGTCAAGAGAAAGATTGGCTGTATACCATGGTAAGTGAAGGAAATTCTAGGTTTTGCACTTCTTGACTGTTGCCCTTCCTAGTAGGAAATCACTAAGAAAGGGGTTGTGTTTGCTTCTTATAAAAAGAAATGTATTTAAAAGTATTACATGGTCTCTCCTATTTGTTTAATCTTGGCAGCACTGAGAAAGAGTATACTTAATATTTGAATTTGTTTGGAATGTCAGATTTAGTTACGCATACATTTTCTTTCCATGTGTGCAACAGATGCAGGTGAATGATGCCAAAATTGCTCAAATAGTTCCATAGCTTTAAAAAAAAAAAAAAAAAAAAAAAAAAATACAAAAATTTAAAAAAAAAAAAAAAAAAAAAAATCCATGAGAAAACATCCTTCTTTAGCCTAACCCAAAGTGGTACCAAAGACCCCTTCAGCAATAGCCATCAATTGTGTTGCAGAAGCAAAGTGTGATGTGGTGCTGAGAAGAGCCATTTGAGATGGGGATTTGAAAGTCTCCAAGGCATTTGGCTGTGGGACCCCTTTCTGAAAGTGTAACAATGGTGAGGTTTAATGTGATGGTTAAGAGGAAAGAACAGAACCATAGTGGGAGATCTGCTTATGTCTCAGAAGGCAGTTTAACCTTCTGCTTTTCCTTCCAGCCTGAAGCTTCACACTGGCTTTAGAATCCACAATCCCTTGGATTTTGCTGTAGAATGGTTTAGCCCAAAATATAACAGTGAAAGCCTTGGCAGTATGCTTCTGGAATGAAAGCAAGCCTTGGGTTTCAAGGGTCCCACGAAATCTTGCTTTTGAATCCACCAGGTCCACGCTGTGTAGCTCTAAGGACTTAAAAGGTCTTCAGCTGACCTCTGCTCTCATGTGCAAACATGTATGATTCAGTGCAGTTCCATAGGGAGTACTCAATTTCTTGAAATTTTTATTTTAGCTGAGTATGTGCAGTGGGAGAAGAAAGCCTGTAACTATCCTCCAGACAAAAGGGTAAGCATCTGGTACCTTGACTTGTGCTGTCTGGTCTAGGTAGGTCTGAGAAAATGTTGAAGATGTTGCTGGTTTAATTTGGATTTTATGACAAATTTTCAAAGAATGTGCAACACAATTATTGCTAGCATCCTTAATAGGCTATTACCTGGTGGACCATGAAATGCATCAGAAAATCCCTCTCTTACAGGAATATTTGTGTTCCATCTAAATCCATATTAAAGAAAGTAGTATTTATGCTTAATTTTGGAGTTGAGATTAGAGTTTTGCTTTCCAGGAGGTGCAGCACTGATGAGTCTGAGGGAAGGTCAGCTTTTCACTTCATGAAATGGGAGTATGATGTGTCTACCTTTAAAGCAGACAGGAAAATAAAGAATTTTTCTCTCTGAATTATGAGAATGAATTATTATTTACAAGCTATTTTCAGTGGTTCTGGATAACCAACCTCTCACATTCCTCTCAACTGTCAGCAACTTTTCAACAAGTATAAAATTTGTATGATTTCCCAAAGCTGGCATTTCTATGGATATACAGAAATTACTGTGTAGAATTTGTGCATTGTCAGAAAGTAAAAGAATCCAGACTCTTTGTTGGAGTTAGGCTGGTCTCCAAGCATCAGCAATGTCTATTTGCTTCCCATTCATTTAGGTTATATTGTGAAGAGGACAGACCTTCAATATTTGGTCATATAACCTGTTTTTTTCTTTGAAGTGAAATCTTGGTATCAGCCTGACAAGAAGAGTAAAATACAAAAATCTTTAGCCCTAACATCTGTATCTTTTCTGGGTTGCCATTTCCTCTTTTTTCATGGAGTGGGATTAAGCTGTTGCTGCCATTTCACAGAACAGCATGAGCTCACAGAATTGGGAAAAGGAACAGGGGAAGGGATACCAGCTGAGTTATACATCAAGGAATTTGGGCTGCAATTTACAAAATGAAAACAGTTATTCTTGACAGGGAACTGTTTTCCGCAGGAAAATGTGATGTGGTTATCTGTCATTTCAATGCATACTGCTAGAGATCTTCCTCGATATGAGGAATGAGTGCTACTAAAAAACACAAGAGGCAAGCTGGAGATGATATTGTGTACTGCAGAACACGTAGGACTAATACTGTAAAACTGCAGGATGAGGTGGTGTGTATTAACTTTCGTGTGAAAACCTGGGAAAACTAGGGTACCAGGGACCAATAAATAAAACACTATTTAATAAATTTCTATTCTTAGGATTGGAATTTTGGAACTTTTGGATTGGCAAAACTGTGCCTGGTTTGCCACACTAAAGGCACAAATCTATTTTCTTTAACAGACTATGCATCATCATTTTTTTATACTGTATTGCTTTTAATGCTTTCAAAAAGTTTTAGTGGCAAAAGATTTTAAAATTTTGCTGGCATCTAGTAAAAAGGTAATATAAATTTGAAAATAAATATAAAGGAATACAGAAGTTTTGTTCTGTCTAAAGACCATGATATCTTAAAAGGCAGACTTTCTATGAAAATTCATTTTCTAAGTGCTGCTGAATTCAGCTCCATTGAGTTCAGTTTTTAGCTGAGGAGTAGTGGAGCAACCTCCAAAGGTGCCAGGTGTGTACTCCCACAGACACAGTGGGCCAGGCAGCCCAGGCACATGATTACCATTTCTCTTTGCATCCCATACCTTTGTCATCCTCTCCCACAAAGGGTCCACCAGGAACAAATGCTCCTGAATGAACAAATGCTCCATGAATCTATAATTACAGATTTACAAAACTATTACTTACCCTCTATATACTCATACAAAATAGTACTGTGTTCATGGTCTTTTCATCCCACCCCTTATGCTATCCCCCCAAGATAATAACCTCTCAAGTGCTAATTAGGCAGCCTTATTTATGCAAATCACAATTAACTTTACTTGTTTTGCAACTTTACAACTCTGATTCTTAACCTGGATATTTGATAATTCTCAACTCCTTTTAGGCAGTGCTATTTGCAAAACAATTGTTTCCCCGTTTTTTGTATGTGTATGTGTTTTCATTTTTATTAAATGTAGTACTTAGCACTTTGTTGTGTTTCTTTTTAAAGAAATACTGATTTTAATCCATTTCTGCAATGCATCAAAGTTACTTCAATTAAAACTAATTTTAACTTTTTGTTGTTGTTTTCTATAGCAACATACTAGGATCTTACAAACATAGAATATTTTGTGTTAAAATGGACCTTTAAGGGTCACCTAGTCCAATCCCCAAGATCTTAAAGAAAACACTGAAATGAATTGCCATCACAGAAGTGCATGCACACATGCATTGTATGTAAGTTTATTTATATTTGTATATTTTGAGATATAACCACCAACTTCATGGTACCCAGTGACTTCCTCAAGCATTCCTGATTATGTCTTACATTTAATTAGTCTTAATATTTCCTACTCTTTTTTCCTGTATCCTAGCCTACCATTTTGAAAAACAAACAAGAGTATTCCAGCTAATGCCTCTTCCTGGTCTGAAAAAATTGAAAGCCAGACATGGTTTAAGGGAATAAGGGGTTTTTTACGTAGTGTTTTAATAATGATCTTTATGGTGCACCATTTCACCAAGGTGGGATGTGCTGAAAAACACATACATGACAGAACACATGTACAATTTATAGACCCATGCCCCAATGGAAGGCGTGGATGAATGGCATGATACTCCTTTTTCTAAGGAATACCCTCCTAGATGGGCCAAATCTCTAGTTTATAGGATATGTTCTAGAGGGGTCCTTGGTTTCTCAAGTTAGTGTAGGGGTTTTTTTGCCTCCTACTACAAAGCCTTTAGGGTGTTCTCCTGGCCTAACAAAATACTAGGACTATGCTGTTATCAGACTTAAGGAATTACAAGTATGCATATAAGAATACTGAGGATTCATGAAACTTATATAAAAGGTATATAAAAGAAAAGGCAAAAAATCATCCTGGCATCATAGCAGCTTATTTGTTTTATTTCCATCATAAATGACACCTGTAAATTTTCCTTCTTATTTCTGTTGTCCCTTAGATATTCTCAGCTTTCTTGGCTTTTTCCCTGTCTTCATGTGGTAGATTCTTTTTGTGCTTCTTCTTATTTGTATGCTGTTTGTCTGCTTTTGTTTTGAGTTTGGTTATGAAAGGAATGCAGCTTTCTTCTTGCACTGATTTTTCTCCTTCCATGTTACTACTTCTTCTGTCCACTATTATTTACCTCTCTTGACTATTATCACCTCTCTTGACTCCAACTACAAAAGTCACATTTCTTAGACATTTTAGAGAAAGAGCTGTTGCAAGATTTAAAACATACCTAAGTCACTCCACAGCATGAATTTATCATTTTGGGAAACTGTATTAAGTCCAGGCTTGCTGCCTTTTGTGAAAACCTCTAATCTCTGTCAGCTCTGTAAGTTCTTGATGTTTGCATTTATACAAAACACAGTTATTCTAAACTCACAGAAAAAGGATTTTTATTACAGAATTAATAGTTACTTTCAGTCATGCTTTACCATTATTTTTCCAGATTTTAATTAACACAGTGCTTTCAATCTGTGTTCTTTTAACTTGCTAATCAACACAAAAAGCTTATTTTCTCTCCATTGCAGAGCTGTACCAAGGAAGGCAGCATTTGCCAAGAAGGCAGTATCTGTGATGCACATTACATAGAATTAAATGTGCCCAAAGGTCAGCTGCTGATGCCTGCGATGCCAAACTATGCTAAATAGAGCAGCTCT